AATACCACGCAGAGAGCGATTTGCCAACACGGACGCAGAATTTCCGACCGACGAGGAAGTCTCGCAGCCAATTCCGCATGACCACACCTACACCTAGGTTGGACAGCTTTCGCAGAAGGAGGTCGTGCGGCACCTTGTCGAAGGCCTTGCTGAAGTCCACGAAGATGATGTCCGTTTCGTATCCTTTGGTCTTGTCCTCGGTCCAGCATTCACGTGCAAGTAGCAGGTTTGAGAGACATGAGCGACCCGGCCGGAAACCGTGTTGTTGGTGGCACAGATGATCGTGGCACGCCAAATGCTGCCGAAGCCGTGCAGCCACCAGTCGCTCCATTACTTTACCCACAATGTAAGTAAGGCTGACTGGTCGGTAGTTCTCAGGGTCACCCCGATCCCCAACTTTGGGCAGTGGAACAATGACAGCGTCCTTCCACTGCCGCGGTAAATGCACTTGAGTGAATGACAAATTGAACAGGTTGCACAGTGGCGCTGCAAGTTTATCTGCCGGCTCCTTCAGGATCAGCGGATGCACACCATCAGGTACAGGTGGCTGGTGAACCTTTAGTCGACGCAGCTCCAGGGCCATCTCTCCGATGGTAAATCTTGAGTTGACTGAATCGGATTGTGCCATTTCTTCTTTTCGGTCTTTCATCACGGGAATCAGCCAGACCCCAGCCGTAACATCAAGTCGTATTCGTATTCGTCTGTCGTTCTATAGCCGACCCATTTCATTAGATCAAAGGAATTTTCAAATATTATTATACTCAGTCATGAAATTCCTATGTGCACCTACACTTTATTATACAATTTAATTTACTTATACTACTGAAGGGGGATGGTGGGGAGGAAATGATTTAAAGGAGCGCATCGGGGGTCACATACCTCGACATAATTTCGTTCGTGGATCCAGCTTGTAACCACTTGGGCATTCACAGGTGTAACCACCATATGTGTTCACGCATTTGTATTGACATGGGGAAGGACCAGACGGTGGTTGACATTCGTTAATATCTGAAATGAAGGTAAAAATATCGCGGAGTCACTGAAACTAACAGTGGTGAAATTATGCATTGATTCAACGTGGCACGGTTGGGATGAAGGAGTAGATCTCTTTAATCTATCGATTGATTTGAATCCTCACGTGACCAAGTTCGCCCGTTTGGACACACATGCCAGTTCATAAGTGAAAATAAATGAACAACTTTTAGGCGTTCAGATCCGTTTGGGAAAGCAGATGCTGCAGTTAGATATATTCGTCGGAAAGGGCACGAATTCCTTTGGCATCATTGCCAAAACTTTTTCGACTTATACGCCTGAATGAATTACGTAGTTCAGTCAAACCCCAATGCCCCTTAACAGTTGCATTCACACACACAGACACACACACACAACAATATTAGAACGAAACGAAATGCAAATGTGCGACATCCAACGCTTGAACAGTGAACGCAAATGTTCACAAGCAAGGTATAAAAGACAAGCCTGAATATCTCCAAAACCTTCTTGAATCAGGATATCTAAAGTTGATGAGGTTAGTTCACGGTCTGGCGAAGAAGAACAGACCGTAATGAGGTTTGGTTTCAGCAGACCTTTAACTGCAACCAAAACCCTCACATCGAAATCATGTGTGTTCCAGCAAACTTACCCACACAACCAAGTTCACGATCCCACTGAAATCCTTCATTGCACAGGGTTTCTTTGCGTTCTGGAATGAAAACACACGCACGGGAACAGAATGAAGCAAAGCGCCAGTTTCCATCATAATAGTATAGTTCAGTTTGAACCAGCTTGGCCCGAAATTCGTTTACTGATCTTTAGAGAAAAGTTGTCTTCAAATATTGTTCTTTGGAAGATGTAAGTATTATGTTTAAATTATAAAAAAATTAGTTGCTTCGATGGGATTAAAACCCAGTAACGTCGCCTAAGCTTTTGTACAGCGCGCGCTCTATTACTTGAGCGTACGGTGTAAAGACAGTCATATTGTCATAGCGTCTCCCAGTCGAATATCCTGTTTGATTTGATGCTAGAAACTTCAGCATAATATAAATCTTGAAACCAAAGAGAGTGTACCACGACGTATGTATGCTCTTTGAATAAAGCAAAACGAACTTCACTAAGCAATACTCCGATTCCCCTAGATTACATAATTTCTAACATGTGACATTGTTCCTATTGACGAATGCCTGAATCAGCGTCACGGTAATAAGATAATACAATGTAGCTATATTGTGCTCTACCCTCCAGTCACATAAAACCGCTGATGCGGATGAGCGTCTTGTTTTAATTTTATTGATGAAAACCGCTCTTGAATAATACAAGCAAGTTTGATCAGCATTTTCACCTGACATACCTTCACATCCGCGTGCCCCTGCTGGCATTCCATTCGGGCATCGACAGCTGTAAGATCCCGGTTCATTTACACATCGTGATCCGCGAGGGCACTGGAAGTTACCCATGGCACATTCATCCAGATCAACACATTCCACAGTCTGAGTGGCTGAGTTCATTAGGGCTCTATATCCGGTTGGACAAGCCGCATGGCATTTGTATGTCCCAGGNCCAGGCAAATTGATACAATGTTCATTCTCCCGACAGTGATGAGTACCGGCTAAACATTCGTCGATATCTGTTACAAAGCGAAATTGTGTCCGGTACGTAAGAGTTGGTTATTGTTATCGAAACAGGCTAACACTTTAACATTTTTGAGTTTACATACAGTGTAATACTCACAATGTAATTTGGACTAGTTTTTGTTTGCAAAACGATGGAGGTCGACTTCGAAAAGATATACTCATGTAAGTAGCTACAAGCAGAGCGGTATTTCATGAAAGCGTTGCTTTTTGGAAGGTTATCATGAGAGAAAGGACTTCAAGAAATAGGAGCAGCTATGTTTAGCGGGATCAGCTGCGATCGCACACAGCTGGAATCCGGTAGAATGAATGGTTCCAAAACGCATCACCCCTGAGCCGGGGTGTCGCCGTACCGAAATAGAGTTACACATGATGTTTTTGATTTTCTAACGGACGATTGGTTGCATTTATGTTTTTAATTTTTCAATGGTTTTGAAAATAAAAACAATAAAATATCCGATGGAAACCTAAAATTTGCCTTGTTTCCCACTATGCGTCTGTGTTCGACCAGGTTCAAGAAGTACCGGATTCTATCCTGCCCAAATTCCTTTGAAGTGGCATGAAAACCTGTGGTGGACGGGGGTAGGGGTTTTATCAACTCACCTTCACACTGCTCTCCAATGCGATTGTAGCCGGCCAGACATGTGCAGTAGTAACTTCCATAGGTGTTGGTACATTGGTGAATGCCACACACGTCCGGTGTGGAAGTGCACTCGTCAACGTCTAAAAACATATGAAAAACGCAATAATAGATAAAACGAGAGTTTTTGTACAGTTTTTTAGGTAACATGCTAATTTACGATTCTATGAAGCTCTTTCCGATGTGACTGGTTGATCAAACACACGTGACTGCTCTACAGTCAGAACGACCCCAGGCCCAATGAAACTGAATTGCACTGAGAGCTCATTGTGTACTATTGTGGTCTACAACTGACTGATTTGTGTTCATACATGCCTGTAATCAAATCGATTGATCGATTGATCGATTGACTGACTGTTTGAATGCTGGCTTGAAGGTATTCGCATGTAGTGAAAGGTGCCAGCTGGAATCGGCCAGCCTGCCTTCCCTTCTACACGCTGATCGTTCCTGTTTGTTCTCCGGTTTGTGAACCGGCTAAATATTTGATGTGCACAATAAACCTACTACTTAATTCGTTGTTTGCTCATCTATCTACTTAATTTGGAATACAACATGTACTCATTCAAGCACCGACAAACCCTGTCTTCGCATCCGTATGTATGAGCAGTGCTGACTGGCATTTTCATGCACTGTTCAGTTTCCATTTTAGCATTTAGCATTTTTCATTTATGTCCTATGCGTATGACGGAGTGAAACCGTATCAGAATCAAGGGTATGTCAATGTTTCATGTCATCACTTTTCGCATAAATGCTCTCAATTTTATCTCGAGTTGTTTATTTCTATTTGTTTAGGTCTTCCAAGAGTACTGCTTGTGGGAATTTGGTGAACCTGTTGTGGAAAACCTCGATCAGAAGTGTTTACCAAAAGGTCATGGTTAGTCTTTCCGCACAACGACATCGAACTATTCTTTGAATTTTACTATTCATGGCATTCTATGATTCCGTTCTATTTGTCGTATCATAAGACCTCCGTGAATGCTTGAGTTTAGCCATGATTAATGGAACTTTATGAACTGTTTTGGACCATTCAGCACGTACCGATACATCCATCCCCAGACGGGTCATCTCGGAGACCGGGTCCACATGAACGTCGACATTCATAACTGCCCGGTGTATTGACACAACGTTGATCTGCCTGGCACGGACTCCCTCCATTACTCGTACACTCATCGATATCCACACAGGAGTGTCCGTCAGCGGCCAAGCGATATCCGGTATGACAAGCACATGTATAGTGTGGAACAGTGTTCTCGCATACGTGATCACATTTGTTCAGAGTACGCGAAGAGCATTCATCCACATCTAAGAATGAGGGGTCACAAAGTATGCGATGAATAAATTGCGTTCGGTGTTAGGAGAACGGTGTGCTACGAATTTTCATGACGAAGTACAGTATACAGTACAACAGTAGTTATAATCATGAGGATTAATGTGCAATAAAGTGGGGTGTAAAGTATGACAGTATTTATATAGCATGCTATGACTCACTAGGCAAAATTCAAAACTTAACACCAATTGGCAGAATTATATAAATTGAACTTACAATGTAGAGATAATATTTTTATTGTCGTTCAAAACCACGAATGCAAATTATGTTTTGTTGATAGTTAGTCTGGACAGTGGTGGTTGAAGTGAATGACAGAGATTCTCATGTCTTTGCAAATTGAAACTAAAAAATAAAGAACTTACCCTGACAATAATCGCGCAATGCTTCCAGAGTACTCCCGGGACCGGATACTCGGGTACGTTGTAACTCAAATCCTGCGGGGCAAACTTCACCGCCAATTGGTTTGGTGATGTGTGCCTGAGCTTGTAGATGAAGCGTACGCCTAGCCCTGTCAGAACTGGTATTAATTTGTGTAACGAATAACTCCTGATTCAAATAGCGCTGACGTCGACCGCGTCCGGATTGGATAAATGAGTTCCATGCGTACGGTTCCATCTCAAACCGCACTTGATCCGGTTTCCTCAGGCCAAAAGTACGTGAAGAGTGCCCGTGTAGTTCACCTGAAAACAAGGCCGACCGGGTTACAAAATGAGGTTGGTTACAAAACAGATTTGTCAGTTAAAATGAAGGTATTTAATTCAATTTTTATCAAACTTTTGACCCATATGTGCTAGTGACTGATTAGCTGGATGAACTGGGCGTTATGATTGAAACAGAAGTCCGAAAGGTGATCAATTAAAATAAATATCAAATATCCTTGAAATGTCACGGAAAGCCCGTTTTTCCTAATTATACAATTCGCGAACAAACAATAATGCTCCCAGGTACGAGGCTTAAAAGAATTTATGCGTAACAAGTCAGTCATGAGATGTTTACATTCCTAAAAAGCGAGGTGAACCAACTTTTTATAGATGCGACGGTTGCAATACAACTCGGTTCATTTTCCACTTGATTAAAGTGGAAAAATTCAATAACCACTTCCGTGCTCATTGCGGACCATCAGATAATCAATCCATGCACAGGTAATTTTGCTTATTTTTCATGACCAGTTTTATCCCTATCAAGTTTCAATCACCTTTGCGAATAGGGTGCTGCTGTTGCCTACAATTGACTAATATGTTTGTCATGCATGCCAGTGGCCGGATTGCTTGCTTGATTGATTGACAGATTCTGCGTGCTATCGCATACGCACGCATTCACGCCACGCGGATTGACTCTATTACAATATCGATTGGTTCCAGCCAATCAAGTGTTTGTATAGAACTGTCCACGTTGATTGATTCGTTAACTGTTTGAATGTCCGCTTGACGGCATTCGGATGCCATGTGACACTTGAGCCAGTTGTTGACCTGCCTCCTTGCTTTCCTCTGCGTTTCCCCCTCCTGTTCATCAGCCTACCGACTGGCTACATGTGTTTCCTCTACAATAAACGTACTGCTTAATTGACTGCTCGCTTATTTACATATTTAAACTGAACACAACAGCTGCCTACCAAATTTATTGCTCAAAGTCAAATATTGAGAGTCACCAAGTGGGGACACAACCAATCCCTTTGATGTTCACTATTGTGAAGTTTGATCTGCACAATTAAAATCACTGTGTCGAAGCTAATCAAATAAATAAATAATCGAGCGTTGTACTTCACTAATCGACCCATAGCTAAGATATATGTTCGATTCCAATCCGGAAATAAATTGTCATGCATAAAAAAGATAAAATGGCGGTTATCATTATTTTCTCTCAGTCGATCAAACCACTGTGGAAACGAGCTTTCCACCATTCACATTGCAGCACACATTCGGGCACGATTTGGCACCCGATCTTGCTGAAGTTGTCATACAGCTGAATGTGAAACATCAACTGCAGCTGGATTTCCGTATTCCATTAAATACGATTGGGACGACACAGCACCTAACACGTCCAAATTGAACCCTGTACATTTGTAACTTTATGCTACAACACATGAACTGTGTGACCACATGTACACAGCAACGCAGCTAAACTCAAACGTGCAACACGTTCAAATATATGATGGGCTTTTTTGAATGATGATAGCGTGAGTAAGATTGCGTCAAAATTTAATTAATTCGGTTTGGTAAAGATCCAGAATCAGGTGCACAGTCTTTGATAAACATTGTTTGGAATCAGATATTTTCTCACCCATCCAGATTAGACCACATATGAGTAGCGTTGAGTGTTTATATTTCTCACGCTTAGACAGTCGTAGATTTTGTTTCCCAATCGCCTGATTTCTTCATACGCATACTGTTATGAACCGTTAGGTCACTCATCTGCATGACCACGGTTTATACGACTCATTTGTGTGATCTATTGATAAACGGTGCTACTTCACTGGATTGTTTTTCTGCAACCAGCTGCTATGTTGTGCCCGTATAGTGCTTACAGCTAGAAAGACAAAGTTGATGTCATTTACCCAACTTCTAAGGTGTGGCAAAACAGCCTTGTTAAGCTCATGTACACCTACCTTCACTGGAAGTTATTGAATAGTGCGAACTGCGCGCTTGGAATACGACCATCGGTTCGCGCAGACCTTTTAGTTTAGTAACACTCTCGTGTGTGTTCGAGTGGGTCCATTAAATCCGTCGCTCGTTTGGTTCAAAATTACTGAAATCGACGGACCTTCTAATATTTTTTTAAAACGCTGAAACCAAAACCGACTTCGAGGAAATTATTTCAACCGTTGTATTATTTTAGAGGAAAAGCTGTTGAATGAATTGAGTGTCTCGAAGCCCTGCGGAACAATATGAGTGCATTCATGGTGCACTACGTACCCATCGGAATCTTTTCCACTAAAACTGACCAATTAATTAACAAATCGTTCACACTCTCATTTAAGTTTTGATCCAACCGCGGTCAGTTATACAATGGGTACCAGACCAGATAAAATTTGCAACCCGATCTAGTGCTTGTGTTCGTTTCAATATGTATGCTTTGAAACCATTAAGGGAATCCTGAAAGTTATTCACGCAGCTGTTTGTGACTTCCAATTTGGTGCTGTCTTTGATTTCAACTCACCGCGTCGTGGATTCAACTGAACTATGTTCTCTCTGTACTCATGCAGTCGAATAGATGCATCCCCATTGATCACAGCCGCATCGGTCAATGATAATGGACAAGTGCCTGTTACATAGATATCCAGACGAAGCCGTGTTGTGCTTGGATGTGTGTTCAAGTCCACGTCGTATGTCACACGATGATTGATTTGTACTGTGCTGCCATCAGCGAATTGCCCCACTGTGTCCCATGTCCAGGCTCCATCAGGACCGACAACGCGTTGTCCGTTCGAGGCACCGTTCATCTGAAAAGGTGCATGGAAATCAGCTGATATACTAGCTGTATACTAGTATACAAGAATCGATGCAATCGCATTATTTCTAGACAGCGTTGGTTTACCCGAGGAAAAGTGCAGTTAGTTGTAACTGGGTGTCGTATTGGGTTAGAGACGTTTGGTCAATTATTCAATTACACATAACTCATCAATGCATTCTCACGGGAACCCCAGACTTTGTTTGCACTCTCTCTGCTTAACTGGTGTATTTCGTTTCGTTCAATTCAGACGAATTAGTAATAATAAGTGGTTTCACATTATACTTATGTGTCGAATTTGATATACAACAAAGCTATGGTAAGAAAAGGTGTCAAGGTAGACTGGAGATTCTTACACAGCAAATAGAAGATAGGGTAGCTGTGGCAACGCTTCCAGTTAAGAACTAGCTATATGCCTATGGATGGACAACTCAAACCGCATTAAAAATGGATTAAAAGATGGTTGCAACATGATACCCTCAAATGGGGTTGTGAATGGGTCAGTTAAACTGATGAGATCACATTGGATAACTCCATGTGAAATAAATTCCACAGATTCAAATAAGTTATATTTTATCTACGGTATATATGGCAAACGATCATCCAAGTACGGTTTTGTGCACCATTTTGAGTGTTGCAGAGTCTATTTTGCTTTGAGATGAACATGCTAACAAGGACTCGGTAGTTAGAACATAAAAAGTCAATCTGATAGGTGTACTAAACATGCTTGGGGATCCGTATCCGGTTGAAAAATCCCGCGTGGACAGAGAGGGAAAAATTGAAAACTGTAAAATCAATCTATGCACTCCACAAAAAGCATATTGGAAAAATAAATATATTTTATTTTCATTTATTTACTTTCATTTTAATTTTTTATTGAACATACGATGATGCTATTTTCTGTAAGAGGGATGCAGTCAATCACAGGAATATCATACAACACGCACAGAATGGGTAAGTCTGGCGGCCGTAGTGAGATTCGAACACATGTCTTCCAAGGTGGCAGTTTGGTGACCTTTATCACCGGGTAGGCACCATCCTGATTTCAAGTCAGTGAGAGACCCCAAACCTTTTATGCGAATACATTTGATGGTAGCTGTTGGAAAGATTCAGACGTGACACTACGTCTACTTAAATATGGACCTGGATTGTTTTTTTTCCTATTATAAAGGCGCTCCGTGAGGAAGATATTAGGACTCAGATAGACCTTAAGAGAGATTCGGCCCCCCGGTGTGAGCTGCTTCATTTGTTACCTTGATTTGGAGGCAGACAATAGATCATACCAGGTCTTGGCATAGATCTGTCCAAAAGAAATAAGTTGATGGGACTTATAAACACACTCTTCATCAAAGAAATGTTCAGTTCAACTTATCGATCGGATGTATATTCATATGTATTACAAGACACAGTCTGTGAATGACTTGGCAAAGTTCCTGATCGAATACATGGAGTAACAAAATATTTGATACGATTTAAAAGAGCGGAGGCCAATCTGAGGTGAGGCATAAAATGATAGACTTATGACTTTCGAGATTCAATTACAAAATCCTAGGGTTGGGTGTTTAAATGTTATATATTCACCAGTGAGTGGTCTGTCAATGGGGTCACCGTGAATAAGAAGAACCGGGTTAAGTACAAACAGCTGATCGTGTTTACCATTCTTATTAATGGAGAGCAGAGCATCAACGCCGCACTCCGTGGTATTTCGATGTAAATTTTCACAATCAGATTAGTCAGAGGTGTAATAAAGCAGCCTGTACGATGGAGACGATTGAAAGAAACTTGATTAAGACATAACCAAACCAAATTCGTCTGCATATGGAAGGATTTATGAAACTCTGGTCAAACTCACCTCTTGCGCTCCGTACCAAAGTATCGGGGTNCGGGGTATAGATTTCGGTCAGAGCCAAGATACATGTCTGATGATCGGGTAGCACATCGTTCAGATCAAAACGGAACTGGACGGGATTTTGCGTAACCGAGGCGGTCCAACTAGCGTTGATCGGGATCAGACCGATGTCTAGTTTGTTCAAGTGACCCCGGATAATCCCGGTCACAATGCCGGACTTTGGATGATCAGATAAATCTGTTGTTGTTGTCATAGGAAGGGTAGAAAACGACGAGTGTATTAGCCACTTCCATATGTTCGTTGTTTGACTGTAATCA